GAAAATACATATATTGAAAAAATTAAATATCTACAGCAGAGGTATATCTAAAAGGAAACAAGAAATGGTTAAGAGAAAATAAAGTCCAGGACACCTGGCATTAATGAGCTGATCCCAGGTGATATTCACAGAGCGAGTAGGAAAGAGTCTGAGCGAGGATGTCTCTGTAGTCATCAGCCCAAAGTTAAATATACAGAATTCTAAATATAGGGAATTTTCACTTCAGTTCCTAAAGAAGGGAAGCACCTTTTTTCCTACAATCTGGTGGAATTCTAGCTTCTTGCAGTCCTATCCCACCTCAGGTAAAAAAATACAGGCTATAAGAAAATTAACTATTAATGCATAAGCCTTTTTGAAAATAAAAATACCAGCCAGCTGGCTGGCCAAAAGTTATAAATAATCAAAAGTTATAACAACTTAAGGACCAGAGTACTTACTTTTTTGGGAGTCCCTAAAACTTGGCAGATCTTAAAGATTTCATCAACCTCACTTGTCCCTGGGAAAAGTGGTCTTAACGTATATAGTTCAGCCATTATACTCCCAACAGCCCACACATCAATTGGAGAGCTATAAACGGAAGATCGGAGTAAAACTTCAGGAGCGCGATACCTATGAAAATAGAACACAAAACAAAACAGGCTATTTTGATTGTAGTTTCAGAGATGGAGTGGCAGTGGGATCTTACTCTGTTTGATCATGCATTTCAGTCAAGGACCAGGTACGAAGTGCCTTCTGTGTATCAGGCTTCTGCACAATGTGTTGGGTTGATGTTGGATACAGCACATTTTTTCTAATCACAGTTAGCAGAGCTCGAGACAAATAAAAATAAAATGTCCAAGTGGCCTCAGACAGGAACTCAAATATAACGCTCTATAACATATTAAGAAAAAGGGAGCAAGCAAGCTCTGAATGGAAGCAGGTATATTCCGAATGGGAATAGCTGTGTAATTTTACAGAGCATTACATCCTGATATATTCATGTGAAGGACAGAACACAAAAGATTAACAAAGATGACTCCTGAGTACTGGGCTTTTTTCCTGATTTTTGCTTATCAGTTTGAAAGTGCTGATTCCTCAGCTGACTCAGTTCCCTTAATTGACAATATTTTTAATTGAGAAAAATACTCTGTAAGGCAAAGGTAGCTGGTGGAGGATATTCTCAGTTACTCTTTTTCATGTTGAAATCTGAAATGTTTTTAGTATTGTCCTCTGGCTTCCGTTCAGAGTGTCTTTTTTTTTGACAGCTTAGAGATAGGGTTCACATGATATGCATCACATCCATTTAAGAGCACAAATTAAGTGGTGTTAAGTGTATTCACAGAGATGTGCACCCATCATCACAGTCAACTTTACAATGTTTTCATTACCCCTCAAAGAAACCCCACACCTCTCTGCTCTCCCTGTGCCTCCAGCACATCTAATCTACTCTGTACATTTGCCTGTTCTGTCACTTCATATCGTTGGAGCCATATGCTGTCTGGTCCTTTGCGACAAGCTTCTTTCACATAGCATGTTTTCAAGGTTCATCCATATTGTAGCAGGTATCAGTACTTCATTCTTTTTATTACCATTGCATGGCTATACCACATTTTGCTTATCCATTCCTCAGCTGCTGGACATTTGGGTTGTTTCCACTTTTCGGGTATTGTAGATAAGGTTGTTATGAATGTTGACGTACAAGTTTCTGTGCAGACGTATGTTTTCATTTCTCTTGGGTATATACCTCGGTGTGCAGTTTGCTGGATCACACGGTAACTATATGTTTAACCACTGAGGAACTGCCAGTCAGTCTGTTTTGTGCCGTTTCACACTGCCACCAGCAGTGTGTGAGGGCTCCCATTCCTCTACGTCCTGGCCAACACTTGTTACTATATTTTGACAAATATTTTTATGAGACAAAACTGTTTTTACTGTTTTGCCAAATTTAGATGCTGAAGGCAAGTGTTCTCAATTTCATGCCACTGCAGCATAGACTTAAACTTCCCCAGTTGAAAATAGAAGCTCCTTCAAAAGATTCTTCCCTGCAAGAGATTTTCCAATTCTAATTATACATTTAAAAAAAATTGTAGTACACTTTGAGTTTTTATCATTTAATGTGTTCACTTACTCCTTTGCTTTTGCAGGCATAAATATCATTATCTTCCTATTTGCAGACTTCCTGCAGTTTGCTATAGACTTCAAAAGCTTGGGGGTTTTGGTGCGCTATTTATCAGAAATTCTGATTGAAGATTTCCAAGTGATTTGAAACAAAATGCAACCAAAATATTAAGGGATTGTTTACAAAAAGAGCAAGATACCACTGTAAATCATTTAAGTCAGTTTACAAGTAATTTTTCAAAGGCTCAAGCAATTCTAAACTTCAAAGGACAGCACAGAGAGAAAGCACATACAGCCACGCTGAAGTGTTTTTTGTAGTCAGCATCAATGTCATCATAAAAACTTTGCAGTTCAGTTACCCGCTGTGTGTGTGTACGTGTAATCTGTAAATTCTGACAACTACAACTTGTTATTTTGATTGGTAGAATACAAATTCAGCTGCATATTTGGATGCAGTTACAAAACAGATACACATCTTAACCAATCCAAATACCTTTCTGCTTTCTAGCTTTCTTAATTTAGTTAGAATACTGTTTTTATGATGCCAGGCTTCACTAAAATTGGTATTTGTATTACCACTGCAAAAAGAATTTATTTTCAATGCTGAAATTTTTACCTGAAATTAACTAGCATTCACAGTACTGTCAGACTTTCACTTTTCAAAGAGCTAACTCCTGAAAGCTTCACTTTGATTCTATTAAGCGTGATGCAAAAAACCAAACTATTATTTGAAATAAGGTAATTGATTTTTTCTCTTTGAAGCCAACTTAAAGACACTTATTTAAAACTGTCATTGTTAAATTGTGAATTCTTCCTCCACGGAAGAAGCCTGTACAATACCTGAAACTAGCATAATATTAAACTAATGTCAGTTGTATCTCAACTAAAAAAAGGAAGCCTATCCATATACCTTTACAGGCAGTCACTTTACTTTTCATATCTGCATAAGAGAATTTGGTATAAAAAAAGTGAAACAGAATGAATTAGAATATTCATTTCATCTAAGTGACCAGTGATAATGAATACCTCATAGAGTAATGTGAAAACTCATCTCTGTCGCTGCCTTTCCTCGTGGCCGTCTCTGGCACAGTCTTCTTGGAATAGCTGCTGACTTTTGAAATGGATGCTGGTGCTGCTTCAGCAGTTTTGTGTGTTCTGGTTTTCACCATGTCAGTGACTGCCAGCCCCAGGGGCGATGGCAAATGCCAGTGAACATTTTATGTTAGCTCTTCAGCACCTTCTCTTGAGAAATAGATACTTAATTTTCCATTAAGTATGCTCTTCTGTTTTTTGGAGGTCATTGTTGATTAAAAAAAAAAGAGTTCATTGCAAGCCCCCCCCTTTTTTTTAATGCATTATCAAATGTATTGGTTTCCTTGGGCTGCTGTCACATAGTGCCACAAACTGTATGTTTAAGTCAGAGAAGCTTACTGTCTCACAGTACTGGAGGCTGGACATCTGAAAGCAGGGTGAAGGTAGGGCCAGCTCTCTCCAAAGGCTCTCCGGGAGGATCTGTTCCCTGACTTCTCTTAGCTTCTGGCGTTGTGGGCGATCTTTGGCTGTACCACTGCAGCCTCTGTCCCCGTCATAACACAACATTCTCCCCATGTGTCTTCTCACGTCTTCCCCGTGTGTATCCCCCTCTGAGTTTCTTCTCTTATAAGGACACTAGTCATCTGGGAGTGTGGCCCACCCTAATGACCTCATCTTTACTTTTCTCCATAGTAATGTACCACCATATGATATTCAAATATTCTTGTTTTTATTGGAGTATAATATACACACAGAAAAATGCACAAGACCTAGGAGCACAGCTTGGTGAATTTTCACAAATAGAAGGTACCCATGGACCCAGCACCCAGATCAAGAAACTGCATGTTACCAGCATCCCAGACGGCCCTCTCCTGCACCCTTCCAGCCACTGCTGCCCCCACCCCCACCACATAACTGCTGTCCTGACTTTCAACAGCACAGATCAGCTCTATTTTTGCACTTTATGTAATGGAATCACATAATATGTGTTCTTTTTCTGTTTAGCCCCTTGTTCTTTTTTTTCAGTTTTATTAGGTAAAATTGTTAGTTTGACTACACATATACAATAGATTGCATGTAAACACATATATACAATATGCTGCACATATTTTTTAAATTTACATATATATACTGTTCATTGTTTCTAGAATAGTTTAGAGCTTTAGCTTTTCAAACTTACATAGTTACCAGAGGATAGCCTCTTGTTCTTGACATTGTATCTGTGAGATTCATTCATACTGTTTACGCAGTTGTAGGTCTTTCATTCTCATTGCTGTAAAGCAGTCCACTGGGTGAATATATTGTGCCCTGGGTGATGGATATCTGGGTAGTTTGCAATCTGGGACTATTACATCTGTCTTTTTGTTGATAACTCGCGATATTTTTAATTTGTGTATTGGCTGTCATGGAAGCAGCACGAGGCAGAGATTTTTTGTTTCGTTCACTTCTTTGTTCCCAGTGCCAAAAATAGTATCCAGCAGATAACAGGTATTCAGTAAATATTTGTTAAATGAATGGATGGATGAATGACATCTTTTTCCCTTCTCTTATTTCCTGTATCAGAATAGTCATGACCCAGTCTTTCTCTTTCCAAAGAATGCAACATTCAGTTCTAAACTTTGTTTTAAATACTCAGTGTGGAACCTCCAGAAAGATATGTAACAACCCACTGTAGGAAAACTTCAGTCTGCCTCTGGACAACTGCATAAAGCTACTTACCATCTGGTGGATACATAGTCAGTATACGGTGGCTGTGACCTTAATTCTCTTGCAAGTCCAAAATCAGCAATTTTCACGAGTTCTGGGCCCATACAAAGCAAGTTTTCTGGTTTCATATCCCTATGAAAAAAACCTTGGTAATATAGAGAGGAAAAACAATAATAAATCATCATGTTTAGACATATTTGATTAATTAACAAAATACGACCGAGCCTTTCTGTTCTAACTAGGAATGTGCACTTAAAGAAAAAATAAACCATATTCATTGTCTACCAAGTGATGGGAGGCAGGGCTTTCAAAATAATTTGTCAAGGAAATTCATACAGTATATATGGTCATTAAAAAAACTATCTACATGTGTATTTCTTTCTCTCTTTTTTTTTTCGATAATCATTTTGTTTTTATTTTGTCAGAATTACCAGCGCAAACTTTTTTCTTCTTCTTTTTTTGCTGGGGTTGGGGGGTACTCATTTGCAATTACAGCTGTGTATCCACATGCATTTCTATTTGTGGATCCAGTAAGCTCAGGCACTGGGTTAGACACTGCCACGTTATTATTATCCCCATTAATTTGCACAACAGCCTAAGGAGGTATTATGATCACGAGTGTGTGAGGCCTGGAGAGACACAGTTGAATGAAAGCCCGAGGAAGGCTGCGTACAGGCGGAGGTCAGAGCAGCCAGTCCTACCACTGCTCTGTCTCGCTGCAGTTTTAACACGCGACTCCCTGAGAGTAATCACTTATTTTAGAAGTCCGTTAAACCCAAGTGGAATGCCACACATTTGAATCAATTCCTTCGTTTAAAATTGTTTTATTTAACAGCTCATTTCTCCCCTGGTAGCCACTTTATAGAAAAACCCAATAATGACAATGCTTGTTTACCAAGTAAACGTATAAAATAAATGGCTAGCCTCGGAAGCTACAGGGCAGCCTGCTGAAAAGAAGGCAGAAAGCCCTCCTTGCAGACGTGAGGGGGGTATCAAGCGCACGAGTTGTACACAGACGGCTTGTGTCCTAGTGACCTTGCTGGGTGGAGCATTGAGAGCGAGCCTGGTCATCAGTTGTAAGAGGTCATCGCGAGAGGGTTTTTCATGTCGCTCTGGGCCAGGAGGACTTTCTAAGCCTACACTTTTTTAATCCCTTCAAAGCCAGTGTGGGCTCTCTGTGGCATCTACAGCAGTTCTGGACTCCCTTTATCTTGTATTCCTTACTCCAAATAGCTCCTGTGATCCATTTCACTTACTTCCAAGAGAAACACACTGCACTTTCATAATATGAAGACAGGAATGGAGAGCACATGTGATGGTAAAGTGACATTAATCCATGAAATCTTAGAGAATGAAACCACAGTTGAGGTTTTCCCTATCCTCACTAATATAAATACATTTTTAACTTGATCCTATTTTACCTAAAATATTAGTCCAATATTTTGACAGTTAACTATTTTTAAAATACCTATTTTCTCACAGGATTACATCTGAGATGTTTATTAACTATGGCAAAAATAATTTAGCTTTTTTAAAAGTGTCTGTTGTTCTTGGAGTCTGGTTTCTTAATCACTATGTAGACAATTTTACAGCCGAGTCTAGATTACTCATACGTTATTTACTTTCAGCAACAATTTTTAAATCCCAAGCTAATTTCTTTCTTCAGTCCTAATGCTCTGAAGTTCCTGAAGTTATATCTGAGGAATCTAAACCACCTTTATTCCTAGCCTAAAAACCATCAATGAAACACAAAGCTCTTTCCAAAAATCAAAGAATTCATGAGGCTTTTGATTTTCCACATCACACTTGCTTAAGTTAGCATAAATTAATGCAGGCAAATATCAAGTTACCATGCTGACCAGAGTTTAAAAATGGGTTGAGGGTCAGGAACCCATTTGGAACAATTAAAGTAGCATATATCCTTTATTTTCTGTGTAATTAATAAATGACTGACTTTTGCGAATGGACTGTAGTATATTATCATGAGCTTTAGCTTTTAAAGACCTTAATAGTTTATATAAGACAAAAAAAGCTGAGGATTCAGGAATGCTCTTACAATGTTCATATGGAATTCTACATAACATTTTTAGAAAGTAAATTATTTCCTGTAGCAGTTAAGAGAGAAGGGAGAAAAGAAAATATAAAACAGAGGAGGAAACATGAAAGGAGACTGATGATGGTGATTTTTGAATGCCTGTGCTCAGAATGCAGCAACAGAATGGCATAAACTTCTCTGATTTAATATCTAAACATCTAGTGATTCTAAACAGTCATTAAAATTTTTCATAATAATCATACTAACTTTTCAGACAAGTTATTTTGGTTTGATGTGCCAAAAATTATAAATTAAGATTATATAAATAAGAAATTCATAAAAATAAGCACTTGATTTAATTTTCAAAGTACAGAAACGACTAAATGTAAATACTAAGGAAAACTAGGAAATACCACAGCACGTGTGCTTTCAACGATTTAAATGTTAGTAACTGGTAGATCCAAGCACGACAGACCGGAGCATTTCAGTCTTTTCCAAAAGAGGGGTCTTATTTATTTATTTTTCATTTCCGTGTAAAATTAGGGGGAATGAGATTGCAGGGTGGGTTTATGATGACTGAGACTCAAGGCTGATGATCAGTCTGTTAAAAAAATTCTGCTACAGAGGAATATAGTTATAGATTATTGAAATTCTATTTTATATAGAATTGTAGAAATTGTAAATTTTTAAAATAAAAATGTCAGTGAGTAGGCATATACTCCAAACTTGTAGTTATCCACTGTAATATTATTTAACAGTTTATATACAATCCCTATGCATGACCTTGACAATAAAGAGGCAGGGAACAGACACCTACCATGTTTATGGATAAATGCCAGCCCTTGCAATATTTGGTACATAATATTTCTGATGACTGACTCAGGGAACAACTTGTTTCTGTTAAGAAATGAACAAATAAACAGTCACATGACTCTGTTAACCAACTGACTAACCAACCAACACAAACAAGAAGGCAGATGTTCCTCCTTCCTTGGAGCCCCATTGGCCTCATGATACTTGCTAAAGGCATGATTTATAGTTTATAAAAATATTAAAGGTTATAAATTTAAAATGTGAAAATTAGAATATTTTTAATACTTGGTAAAAACTCAAATCCAATACTAAATGTCCTGCACAAATATTCAGTAGCTAAATTGTAAAGTGTCCCAAAAGGAGCAAAGTAAATTGGAAAATTGATAGCCATCACATAAGCCAAGTGTATTTAAATCTGTATTCTGTAGGCTTTAAGAGTTTCAGAGGCATAACTGCTTTAGTTCTAGACTGCATATTGGTACTGTCCAATAGAAATTTAAGAGCCACAAATGAGAACCACTTATGTATTTAAATTTTTTCCAGTAGCTGTATTAAGAAAAGCAAATAAAACAGGTGAAATTAATTTTCTTTAACATAATATATACCAAATACTGTTTCAACGTGTAATTAATATAAAAAATTATTAATGAATTTACATTCCTTTTTTGTATCAAGTTTTCAAAATCTGGTGTACAATTTATTTTACATTTACAGCACAGACCCAGACTAGCCACATTTTAAGAGCTCAATAGCCACATGTGACCAGTAGCTACTGTACTGGACAGTGCAGTTTTATATGGCAATTATAAAAAGCCTAAAGTAAGATCCTAATTAGTGCCAAATAAAGGCTGAAAAATATTAATCGCTAGCATACCACAAATTAATGTGATCAACACCTTAATTCTTTGACCCTGAAATCATGCTGTGTTTTGAAAGTAATTGTTTTAAGCATTTAAACTTTATCATAATTTCAACATTTTCTAACGTCTTTATTTCAGCATGATTGACTGGATTACCTTAGAGTGTTCTCAACATATGGAAAATGGCCTGTTTTTCAACATTATACTGTTAACTGTATTATATACTTATATAATGTTCTAAAATGTCCCACCAAATAGGCTAGAAACAAACAACAGAGAAAGATAAACGCTGATCTTTAAACAAATTTGAAAATAGTATTGATTATGATCAAAACATTTTAAAAACTCACTTTCATAAACTATAAAATAAATTTTAAAAAAGAAAAATATTTTTATCCTTGCCAACAGTTTAAATTTGTAAAAAGAATGCTATATATTGAAGGTACAGTTATAGTATCGGTGAAGGTTTTGTACATTGGTCTTCAGTTGAAATGGAAAAGAAGTTTACTTGAATAAAAAAGATCTGTAAATTAATCTTGATCCTTAAAAACTCAAAATACTGAAAAAGTATTTCAGTAAGTTAAGCTGCCAAAAACAAAGTGTAAAAACACCACCTAACCTCAGATAGCCCTTTATCATGTACAGTTGTTAATGGTTTAATTTATACTTTTGACATTGAATAATATTCTAAACAATGTCACTTTTATTTCCATTTAATTTAGATATCCAGAATTGAATCATGAAATTCCAAAGTTGATTCTTTTTAGTGTTCATTTGCAATTGCATTAAGTGCGACTGCACTTCCACCAACAGGTTTATATATATTTTTAAAATCAGACAACTATATTTCAACATCATGCCTATTTTTATCATTTTGTGTATTTTAAAGAGCCATAAGTTATCAGAAGCCAAAAAGATTACCCATAATCACACCACCTGATAAAGATTTTGATTTTTCAGTATTCTAACCCAGTCCTAATCCATTTGTGTGTATAACTTTTATAGTAGGTATCAATGTTACATAAATACAATTTTGGTTTCTGTTTTTTGTCCACTTGTAAGGATTTTCATAATCTTCATAATGATCACTTTTAATGGCTACAAAATAATTACATCAGCATTATACACTATGATTCCCAACATACTTTTTTTTTTAATTGAAGTATAGTCAGTTTACAATGCTGTGTCAGTTTCTGGTGTACAGCATAATAGTTCAGTCATACGTATACATACATATATTCATTTTCATATTCTGATAGTTATTTCTTTTAAATAGTTCAAAGAGATAAGTGAAGCTTGGTACAGTCATTTAATAGAACATGCTAGCTCTGTTAACTATGAAGATTATGTACCAGCATTTTAAAAAAGCCTGTAATGAACAAATTAAATTAAAAAAATATATCATCACTAAAATTACAACAACATAAAAAGCATGCATGCCTATACACAGGGGCTAGAAAGAACTTTGGAAAAATAAACAGTGATTCGAGAGGTAGAAATTTTCTTCACTTTTAGTTTAACTGCTATTATTTTCTTAATGACAACAGCCTTCTGGAACATAACAGACATTCAATAAGTATTTTTTGAAAGAAGGAAAAATACTAAAATTTACTCACCATCCTTAGAACCTGAGTGAGTGAGTGTGTGTATGAAAGAAATACAGAGAGAAATCAACATCATTCTATTGGGAAATTCATTTCTAAAGTATTCTGGATCTTCTGCTGAACAACTCTGGCTTTAAAAGCAGGTAAAATGGACATTAATTCCCCAGATGTGACCAGCAGCCACCACCAAAATATTATCCTCTCCAAGCTCATGGCAGATGACTGAAGCTCTCCTTCGTTAGAGATTCTGTTCACATGTTTAAAAATTAAAATGAGAATTTCCCTGGGATTGGCTAACACATTTTTATCGTTCACTTAAGCATTCTAATGAATGAGTTTATTAGGTCCTTTCTTGGAAACTCCTTTTCTTGCCCCCATTCTCTCATTAACCTTTCACAAGATGCTTGGGAGAACAAGGAAGAGAATTTTCTCAGTTTTGCCCAGGGTCAGCTTTATTACTGAGTATTAAACTACAGATAGACTTTTGTTTCAAAAAGTATAGATAGTGTGTTTATATGAAATATTTATCTTGACTTTTAAGAGATTACAACAGAAAAATGATGGTTCTTCAATGTTAGATATTGTCCTTTGATAAAGATAATTTAAAGCTACCTCTTGGAGTGATAAATCTGTATACTGTAAAGTGTGACATATTGACAGGACCAAGGGACTTATGGAGGAGATAATAAGGAAAAAATTAGTTTTCATAAAATAAAGACATACCTGTCTTTCATCAATTGATAGAGGTTTTCTTTCATATATTCAAATATAAAATAAAGATGGTCATTTTCTCTGATAACTTCTTTCAGTTTAATCACATTGGCATGATTAAGCTTCTTCAGAGACTGCAGTGGACCAAATAAGCAGTAAAATTCTTAAAGTTACAGAAGTTGGCAAAAGCTTATGAATGCTAGGTGTGACAATTACCTTAAGTAATTTTCCATTTCTTCTAAATGTATTAATGAATTGTTTTAATACCTCTAATATCTTACATGTCTAAAAACATCTTAGACAACCTATTTAAAGCATGCAGTAATTGTTTTAAGTAATGAATGTAAGTGCAAAATTAAACTGGGTCAGCAGTAGCTACCAAACATTTCAGTCTGTCACTTTTTTTTTCTTGGTCATTAAATAGGTTTAACTTTTTTCTGACTTAACCATGTGAAATTCCATGCAAAGTCACCAAAAATGTACCCAAGTTATACAGCATAAAATATAATGAAGTTGTACACAGTAATTATTTCCTTTGATAACATAAATTTAAATGCCTTTTTAAAAGTGAGAGTGTATTTTCAAATATGAGGATATAGTTATTTTCTGTTCTCCACTGACATGAGAAATGAGAAATTACTTTAGGAAGATAGAGGGGGAAAAAAAGAAATATAATTATCTTTGGACTGCTTCCCACGGAACAGAACAGTCTCCTTGGCCACGGTCCTCAGAGACGAGAGAGGTGTGAGGTGGACCTAAAGCCCTCTCAGGTTCTTCTCATCTCTAGGGTTTTACCTTAACTTCTCTCAAGTTCATGCACTCATCCCAAGAATAGAACTTTCTCTTCATTCTGAAATTTAAAACAAGAAAAGTTTAGTGTCTGAGGACTAAGGATTTGAAGACACACATGACACCACTAGGCTTTCTTACTCTGTTGTTCGTTCACCTTGGGCCAGCGATACCTCCCTTCCTTCCTCCTGAAAAGAAGGTCACCTTGCTTCTGCACATCTCACGGCCGTTTGGTACAGGTTCATGACTGTCACATCTTGGACAAACTACCTAACGACCCCTCTGTGCCGCACATTCCTAACCTATAGAGTAGCTACTATTTACTGCACCAGAAAAGTTTAATGTCAACTGCTCAGTTCAGCAGTCTGATAAATACTTCATGTTCTTATTTTCATCTGTGTCTGCGGTCGGCTGCAGTAAGATATTAGGGGCATCACTGCAGTTACTTCTAAAACACCCTTCGTGAATCAAAATTTCACTTATCCTCACTCAGGTGCTGGAAATTTATGAAGGAGCTTGAAGAAATTGAGGGCCTACTGACTTATCAAAAGATACTTTTCAGTACTATAGATTTATAAATGTTTTGCTAAAATGATAAAGGTAAATCTAGCATAGCGGTCAATTTTTAAATGAATGTTCAATAAAACAGAAGTCGAATACAATGTAAAAGTATTTTAATAAACATCCAGAACTGTGCATCTAATCTCTGTGATTCTTAGTAACTATAGAATTTTTAATCTAATTTTTTAGAGGCTAGATAATCAAGTTCTTTTTCAAAATTTTAGTACAAATGGAAACTTTTATTCTTCTTGAAAATCTCTACTGGCTGCATCCACATAGAGTAATATGCTGCTTTCTTTTCACAACCACTACTACTCACCAATACTATCCTAAGGTGATGTGCATATCTACAGGCAACAAATACAGACATGTCCTTACAAAATATGATCCCAGTGTCTTAGACCAATTTAAAGAAATTAATTTAATTGGAAGAAATTAAACCAGTTTTTTAAAATTCTTTGGAGATTCCCTGCCACCTTCTCTTTCATTTATTCATTCATCCAGCGCCTACTCCGTGCCAGGGCAATGAAATCAGAGACGGCGACCATGGCACTTCCCGTCTGACAGGAAACAGACCTTAGAAGGTTAACACAAAACAGTACAAGTTAAGTATAAGGACCAGGAGATAAGGGCGTCTTTTAAACCACTGAAGGGCCAGGCCTCAGGCCTTTGTGATGAGGCAGTATTTCTGCAATTGAGAATGGAGAATAAGGGGTCTAACATCTGTGATTTTCAGGTAAAGTTTATTCCTTTGCATCAGGCTTGAGAGAAATAGCCTTCTGTGTGACTCGTAGGCGACATGAGGTCAAAAATTATCCTAAGATTCTGTCTTGTCTAGAACCTTAAGGAGTAATGGCTGTAGTGACCATTCATACTGATAATCTTGTTGGTAGCTTGGCTTCACAGTTCCTTAACTCCAAAAAGGTGTTGCCCTCTATCCTACTGTAGTCCCCCATAATTACCGTGATACCTTGGGGAATGGTTCTACTCTCTTAAGACTCTAAACTCTCACCACATGCTCCTTTCCTTCCACCATCATTACTACTGCATTTGCTGTTTACATACACTTGTTCAGCTTTTGGCTTTGCCTCCTCATCCAAGTGCCTCATGTCCCTTCTCTGCCCCGTTAATAACCGACACTCTAGCCATCTCCTCTTCCGGCTCCTCAGCCCCAGTCCAGCCTTCACATGCTCTCTCCTGCCTCCAGGCCTTCATACATATTATTCCTACAGCCTGGAACATTCTTCCCCCTCCTCTTTTTCTTGATAATTTTTTTCTCATTCTTAGGGTCTCATTTTCTATGAGAAGCCTTCCATACTTCTCCAGCATCCTCCATCACGGGACTTAATTATATTTTGTGCTGTAACTTTTCTAATTTGTTGGTCTCTTATAACTCATCTATCTCATCCCCATTTTGTCCTGAGCAACCAAGTGGAGTGGCTTAACAATTATGTGTTGAGTGAATTTTTAAACTTCAGGCCTTCCACACTGCCCCTTCTCTCCTCATTCATTTCTGCTCTGTCCTTACACTAAAGGCAGGAACGCCGTGTGGCACGCAGTGAATACTGAATGTGGCAGACACTATGAGTTGACTGTCCGAGGGCCACTCTTCTCTTCTTCACCAACATAGCTTGGTTTGAACACAGAGATACAGAATGCCAAGCTAAGAACTCAGTTTCGCAGCTTCCCTATAGCTAGGTGTGCCACGTGACACACTCCTGGCCAGTGAGAAGTAACCAGAAGTCCTCCGGATAGGGGCGTAGGAAAGCTTTTGCTTTCCTAATTAAAAGAGAGTCCAGTAACTGACTGCTTCAGTGCTCCCTCCTTTCTTCTTGCCTGGAGCTCATCCTCAAGGCCTGGAGCCGCTGCAGGTATTTTTTAAAGACAGAAGAAGCAAAGTCCACGATAACATCAGTAAGACAGGCACGAGCCCCGGGCTGCCTGCCTCAAAACTTTTTATTATGTCAGACAATAAATCCCCATTTAGTTTACTTTTGGTTAGCTTTTTAGTTTCATACACCAAAAGCATTCCTAAGTTATACACGTATGCCCTCTTCTCAGCCCTCAATCTGTTTGACTTCTTACAGTATTTGACCTCTCTCTTCTCTCAGGGTTTTACCTAGCTCTGTGCAGGTGAGGCCCAGTTCCCCATTTTATGAAACTGAAGACTAAAACAAACGCCTGATCTTGCCACCCGGAAGGAATAATGAACATTTTGTTATATAAAACAAAACAATGATAATAACCTTAAATGAGACCATGAGACACAACTCTCATTCTCATCTTCTTACCCCCCCCCAGAAGCCACATAAAATTCATGAATTTTATGTAAATCTTTCCAGTCTTTTAAAGATATTTTTACATATAAATTTATGTGTAGTGAAGTATTTATTTGTGTGAATTTATATAATCATTTAACCTATAAATAAGGATGATTTCATCTCATTTTGGCAAATACTTGTACCTCATTTATTATTATTTTTTTCTCTTACTGCATTAGATAGGGTTTCCAGTGCAGTCTTGATCAATAGGGGATTTGGCAGGCATTCTGGTCTTAAAACCAGTTTTATGGGAAGTACTATAATAGTTCACTTTATCAGGTCAGGGTAGTTTCTTTTTATTCCTACTTTTCGTCTCAGTTCTTGTACATTGAACATTTACCTATTTGATAATAATGGCAATTAGACAGTATTTTGTAAAAGTATTTCCTTATATACATAATGTTCTCTATCCTGATGTAAAGTTTTTAACATTTGATAAACATTTGTTAAAGCATTTAAAGTGCAGAGTGTCATTATTTGGTTGAGTGTGGTAACCAGTTTCCAGGACTTGTTCTGCTGGAAGCCAACTGCCGTGTCATGACAGTCAAGCAACCATCTGTAGAGGCCCATGTGAAAAGAAGTTGAGGCCTCTTTTTGTTCTTATAAAAGGAGGAAATTTAGGCACAGAAATATGCATTGAGGGAAGTTGATACGGGAGAGGTACAGAGGAAAAAATCGCCATCTACATATAATCCAAGGAGAAAGGCCTAGAATAGATCCTCTCCTCACAGCCCTCAGAAAGAACCAACCTTCCTGACACCTTGATTTTAGACTTACAGCCTCCAGAATTATGTCAGTAAATCTCTGTGGTTTAAGCCGCCCAGTCTGTGGCTTAAACTTTGTTACAGAACCTAGTATTTGCCAAAGTGTGTTCCCCCAAATGAATATGTTGACGTCATAACCTCCTAGTACCTCAGAGTGTGACTGTATTTGGAGATAGACTTTAAAGAGGTAATTAAGGTTAAATGAAGTCTTTAGGGCGGGTCCTAATCCGATAGGACTAATGTCCTTGTAAGAAGAGGAGATCAGGACACAGACAGACACAGAGGGAAGATCATGCGAAGACACTGAGAGAATACAGCTGTCTACAAGCCAAGGAGAGAGGCCTTACCTGAAACCAACCCTGACGCAGACTTCTAGCCTCCAGAAGACAGGGATGGATGTGGATGAGGGGTGGGCATGGGACAGGGGGGTGGAAAGGGGTGGGATGGGGGATGGGCAGTCTGTGGCCCTCTGGTATAGCAGCCCTAGCAAGCAGATACAGTGAACCACCTTAGAAGAGGATGCTCCAGCCACGGTCCAGCCTGCTGATGACTGCAACCTTGGCTGGCATCTGATTGCCACTCAGGAGAGACCTGGACCCAGAACCACAGCTAAGCTACTCTTAAATTTCCTGACCCACAGAAACAGAATTAATAAATGTTTATTCTTGTTTTAAATCACTAAGCTTTGGAGTAATTTTTTTCCATATGATAGATATCAAATACAGTAGATAAAAGAAATAATTAAGTTAATAATAATTAATTCTATTTCATTGGTAAGCTCAGGAAAATACCATATGCCATTCAGAACTCAATTTGGTATTATGAATACCATCTGATTTCGAGGCCTGTTGTTTAAAAAAAAAAAAGCACTCTTTACTCAACTTTCAAGTCTGAAATAATTCCATCCATTACCTTCAGAATTTCAGTTCAAATGTATTCTGTGTAAAAAGCAGAGCCCTTCTATTTTTTTATTTGTCAAGCTAGCTGGACAAACTAGAAAATTAAAATAATACCCACGGGGGTCAGCAGAGCTCCTTCTTAGCCACGGTTTCTCTAGAATGGCCTTCCACATCATTAGCCTAACAAGCTCGGGGTCTAAACCAGACTTCTCTCCGTGCATATGTATCTTCTCAAGCAAGCGAGCAAAAGAAAGATGGGTTTCAAAGGGCAACTTTGCAGGGCTGCCCACGGTACCTTTTGATGGCCACCAGCTCCCCGGATTCGTTACTCTTGCCCATCAGCACACTCCCATAGGTGCCGTCCCCCAGCTGCCTCATGGTCGTGTATCGGTTCATCTCGGAAAAATGACGCAGCAGAAGTTGATGACTGAAAGGACTTTTTTGCTGAATATAAATACGAAGGCGTCTTTATTTGTATTCTGTTTTGCCCTTGGACTGTTGTTGCTACACTGGTGACACGTTTATCATCATTAAACACAGGCTCTTCCCCAGATTATGTAGGTTCATAAGATATAGCAATAAGCAATCTGGCAAGGAAACAATATTTCCATCCTTATGAACACCCTGTAAAAAAAGCGAAACAAGAAGAAGAGGAATTTTCATTCAAAAATCTCTTCAAAAAATTTCCTGGTAACCTACAGCACAGGGAAAATTATAACCAATATAAATACCAAGATGTTACGCTTGTGTCAGTAAATCAACTGCTTGTGGAATGATGTTCACATAGAGAAGACTGATGGTACTTCCTGGTGAATGCTTCATTTACACCCACCATGCTACTCATCCCATGAATGTTCAATAAATACTGGCTCAGTGATTGGTATGATCCCTTTTTTTACTGAATATAATCTACATTTGTCCAAATCAGACTTTGGAAAATCAGACTCTCTACTATACCCATTCATGAATCAATTTTGGTATCGTATTTAATTTGGACCACAATCTCTCATGTAAAATTCCTGGGCCAGATGCGTTGGAATCCAGGGATTTGAATATTTTAGAAAAGTAACACGGTACATAACACCTCCCAAGCAGCATCTTAATGTACCTGCAGAAAAATGTATGAAAAGGACACGAAGTTAAAATAAATGAAGACTCTAAATGGCCTCATGTCACTTCAGGTCATGCTTTGTTGCAAATGAGTTTGCACAAATTAATTTTTAAAAATTCATCTTTTAGTGCTTTCCCACAGAACGGGGATTGTGGATCTGTATATACTAGGAGGGTTAGGTTTCTATAGTTCTGATTTTATACTACAATTAAAAAAAACACAAAGCACTAGCCCTACAGCAGCGTTCAATAGTTTCCTCCCATGGTTCTGTCTTACGTCTGCATTCCAGGAACTATTTCTCTTTCATACCTGGTCCTCATTCTTATGTTGCTTTAAATAATATCTCTATCGTTCTGTTACAAGGCTTTATGCTTAGTTGCAGTTGGTAACATGTCTGACACTATTAAAATAGTTTGTTTTAAAATGCCTTCTATAATTGGCGCTTCATTTAAAGATTATTTTTTCTTTCACTGTAGTATGATTTCCATAAAATAAAATCACAGAAACTGCTTCTCTGTTACATTCAGAAATTTAGGACCGACAAGAAATATGCTGTAGTTGTCAGAGCACTGAAGGCTTCCAAAAACAGGCTTTCTGGAGAAACGGGTGCTGAGAAATGCAGGAAGCTTTGTTCTTTCCCATGTACAGGAACATATTTGTCCACAGGAAACTTTGGAAGAAGCTGTGAGCTTTCAAATAACAAAGAGTGTGTATTATCATTTACTTTACTTCGTAAAGAGAGTAACCCCTTCAAGGCCCATGAGAAGTAATTAGGCTATGCTAACTCCATGGCCAGGATCTTGAAAAAGAAATCATGACAGCATATTCCATCTCCGCGTAGGGGTTCCTTCACATTTCTCAGCATAAATCTGAGCAAAGGATCTCAACAAATGCCAGCAAATGGTTCCCCTTGGCCTGAAAATTAAGATTTTTGATAAATGGTCTTTACACTATACACAGACACAGATTCTAACTATTAAGACATTAATATAGAGAAAGGCAACATCTTTTCTGACCAAAACATGTATTTACTTTAAAATTTTTTTCCATTATCTGGCCAAGGAAATCTTTTGGGTTTGTTTTGTATTATGTGTGATAAGCAAAACATGGAGTAAAGTGTATTTCTTCTGATCATTTAGAGTTTTATTAAATCAGTCTTTTGCAGTTTATTATCAGCATGTCAGATGGCTTGGCATTCTCTTCTAGCTTCCCTATTTAAGGTGACATAAACATCTCTTTTAAGGAAATGGGTGCTCTAGAGGTTTACTGATTCTTTCTCGTTAAGTCACAATACAGAGGATATATTTGTCCAAAAGGCTGCAATGTTCCTCGTATCAGTAAAATTAATAAAAACACAGAAGGATTAAATGATCTGTGGTCAGAGAATCAGTGATGGAGTCAGTCTAATACTTGAATCAGCCTAAAGCTGTTTGTTTTTTTCAGTGTGGTCCCCAACTTTTAAATAGCCCATTCTTGCCAGCTTTTATGTCATTGATGCACCTCTCTTTGCCCCCAAAACTGTAGAATCTACGCCACCATGGAAGCTGCCCACACATCATCATCCCCTAAAAATCCCTAATTCCTAACTCAGCTCCTGGCCCTAAACCACCAAGATGCTATAAACAAGCTGGAAAGTGCAGACGGTACCTCCCACCTTGACTACACCCTGGGGCTACAGCTGGCTCATCCAGATACCTGGAAGGACATTGTGAAAAATAAGCCAGAAAGAATGAAGGAAAGACTGTGAGTGAATAGGAGAGAAGGGAGTCTACCTGGAGTTCCTTAAGAAAATTACTACTTTTACTCTACCCCAAAATTATTTAATTAAGAAATTTAATGGGATAACAGTATCATCTCTTCTTTGCAAACCGGCTGCATATGCAACAAATTATTTTCATGTTAACACCTAACTGAGGACAAGCATTGAGGGTCTGAGAGGTAGACAGTCATGTAGGCACTTCTGGAAAAGGACATATTGCTTAAGAAAGGAGCGGAGGAGGGAGCTGCCCAGGCAGGGAGAGAAGTTCACAGGTAAGAGGTGCCAGAAACAATACCGAAGTTTTAGCCTTGCAGCGGCTTAACAACCCACCAAAGTGGAATTCGTTGCCTCTTTCTCTTCCCCTGTTGAGACCATCAACCACCACCATCACCAGTATTGTCAGTACAACAGGTCAGTCAGTCGGGGATGCCCTCTGCCCTGGCCTGGAAGCACAGCCATTTTTGGAGAGAATACTCTAGAAACTTCACCCCAAGCCTAACCAACCAACCAACCTCCAAACAAACGCTGGAAACACAAAGTGTTTGCTTCGAGTGAGGGTGGCTATGGCATGGGATATACTTACATTCAGGGAAGAAGAAACAAACAAGGGATACAGCCATTTCCCAGCTTCTTTTGTTTGAGGGGCAGAGTGGTGACAATTATAGATATGACATAGATCTTTAAAAAGCTCTGATTCGTGGCTCTGAGAGACTCAGGCCAGTTTAAGCCCTGCCTAAGCTTTAAGTAAAACAGGCATACATACCATGTTCCCAAACAAAACTTTAGGAAGGCCTCTTTTGAGTCATATTCATTACAAAAGGCCCTGCAGAGTGAGCTGACCATCCCCGTACCCCCCTGAAAATATAAGGATAACAGCCTAATGTAAAGAGGAGTAGATATAAGAGTAAAGGTGGTGTTTTTTAAATCATCATTCCCATGTACCTACTCACTGATAGCACATAAACACTTACTATCAGTGCAGCACAGCAAGGTCCTAAATGGATTACTAGCCAAAGAGCAGTATCTGTAACTTAAAAGACAGGCTGCTATGGGTCCCCAGTTCACACCCAAGAATATTTCTCTATAAGTTACATATATTCTTCTCTGTTGACCTATGGAAAGCTAACTCTGCAAAAGAGGGATGTGTTAACATGATTTCTTACACACATGAATATTTCCATATGTGTATTTCCATATTGTGCAACAAGGCAAAACAAGTCAATGTAATATAACTATGATCTTCAATTAATTTAAAAGAACTGTTACGAACTTGGAATTTTCTACAGTCAAGCTACAATACTTACTGACTTTCTTATAAGTTAAACAAACCTTATTTTCTGCTTTAAAGAAAAAGACATTTATTTAGAGGCTCAATTATGGACCAACATTAGATAAATAATCTTATTTCTCTTCCATTTTTGTTGTCTTATTTTTATCTAAGTGCACAATTACTGTAGACTTGAGCTTTCTTCTCAACAGCTTCTGCCAGCTAATAAGGGATTTAGACAGGATTAAAGAAGATTAACACAGAGGGCAAATGGAGGGTAAAATTTGGGTCTGCCAATTACTGAGCTGGTGAGTTTGGATGTCTTCAACTTGTCTTTGTAGAATCTGCTGTAATGTTATCACAAGGCTGGCTTAACGTTTGTTGTTTTTTTTTTTTTCCAAAAAAGTAACACCATAAAAATAACTAAATTGTTTAAAAAGCAAAACAAAACGATTTCAAACTAACCAAGTCATACAGAAATTTTAAAAGGAGCTTTTACAATGGGAAAACAAAGATTCAGTGTTGAAAAATAAAAGCTTTATGCTGATATTCACAAATTGTTAAAAAACAAAATAATACGCCAAGGAAGAGATCAAACATCCTGCCCAAGGCCAGCTTTGCATAGGCATGAGGTGGCTTCCTTCAGGGGGAGTTTCTCTCTTCCTCAGCACGCGGGGTGAACTGGGGGTTCGGGGTGGGGGGTAAAGGCCAAAAGAGTGTAAAGTAACTTTTGCCTCCACCGCTATTTCGACTCAAGGGGTTGTTTTTCTGATTAAAATAACTGGTAACTTTTACTGTCTCTCTGAGAATTCCGTTATCATTATAACAAATGCCTGCTCGTTGTAAAAGATTATCTAAACACAATTACATAAATTTATTTCCTTTTAGAATTGAGGTTAACCACTAAAAACCAGTTTTATTGCCTCCCTGCCCCCCAGCTCCAACCCTGTCTTTAAATTAACCAAGTCTCTGTCTTATTTGCAGAAAGAAACAGTTTTTGTTACCAGACATTGATCTTTTTTCTCAAACCAGGGCCCTTCAAAGGCTCTTGAGGCCGATGTCCTGCCGGTTTGCGGGAACCAGCCGCCACCGGCAGGCGACCCCCTGTGCCCCCACGGCTGGCTCGACTGGGAGCTCCCTCTAGGTCCATCCAGTGCCGGGACTCCGCTTTTACCCGGGAGTCACTTGGGGTGCACGAATGAGCACTGAATTTGGACCCAGTTTCTCTTTCTTCTCTCTCTTTTACTTTGTAACAGTTCTGAACTCAGTTCCGCTGCCTTCCCGAGACCCGATCCCGCCCCTCACTCCTGAAAGTAGTGTCCCCTCCAGCCCAAGCACTAAGGGGAGCCGAGGAGGGGAGGGAGGGAGTTGGGGGACCCTGACGGAGAGGTTCAGGGGTGCTGGCCCCTCAGACTGAAGGATGCCCGCCGTCATCCTCCAACCCGGCACTGACCCCGGCGGTGTAGGAGCGCAGGAAAGTGGTCAAGGGAGCCTGGGAGAGCACCCACACAGCAGGCGCAGGCTGACCCCTTCCCGCCCGCCGTCCCTCCGGTCTCCTCTCCTTCCCTCCCCACTTCTCCCCTCCCCGAGTCCTCCTCCCTCCAGTCCCTCCCCTACCAGTGTCCGGGCCCCTTCTCTCGGTGGAGGTTGGCCCTGGTAGGACAGGGCGCCGAGGGGACATGCCGGGCCGCCTCGCAGGACAGGTTCAGGCTGGGTAGGACGGAGGGTGGCGGCCCCGCAGCCCTCTCGGGATTGCCTGCCCGCGCCGGCCGCTTACCTCGTTCGCTCCCTTGTGAAGCGCCGGCGTCTGTGTGTTTCGTCTCCTAGGAAACGGCGGGGGTGCGCCAGCTGCTGCGCAGCCGCCCGCTTACCCCCTCCCACGGGGGCGTGGTCGATCCGGGAAAGCCCCGCCCGTGCGCACACGTCCCGCCTCCCTAGGGGCGGGGCTTCCGGGAACACCTGGATGTATATTCAACTTGCAGTACCCTCTGCCGTTTAATTTGGGGCTAGGGAGAGTCCCGATTACCTTTTCAGTTCTTATAGGAAGTTGGTTTGCTTGCCCTTTATTTTGTTTTCGTTTGTTCCGTTTCATTTACAAAGCCTTGATTCATTGAATCTGGTCCCTAAGACTTGTGAAGACCGAGAGGAAGGCAACGTTTGCCTCGAAGTACTTGTATTTGTTTATATATGTACTACCTGGGGGAAAAGCACTCTGGATTGCAGTTCCTTATACTGGTCAACTCTTCAGATATGTTATTTCCTGGGTCACGCTTCTAAATTTGTTTTCACTTCTCCGTTCAAGGAACTTACTCAGTACCAGTCACAGTGTTAGAGCGTGGTAATCCCAAGATAAATATGTGGATGTGTGAATAGGTGAGTAAATGGTAACTAGCCTAGAGTTGTGAGTAAAGGGTACACTTGTGTCACTGCAAAACAAACAAAAAACTCAGTTGGCTAGCAAAAATCCGAAGCATGAGAGATGGGGCAGTGATGTATCCATTGGTAATTACCTATTAGGTGTCAAGCTCTGAACTTGGCACCAAGAATGACACCAAGGTAGCAGGACAGACATGTTCTCGGCCCTCTCACAGTTATAAGTGAAATTGCAGGTGAAGTGAGAAGCGTATGTTAGATCATGGAGAGTTTATATGCCCCATTGTGAAGATTAAGCCTTCGTAATCTACCTATGAAGGTAGATTTCAGCAGTGAGTCTAGAGGCAAAAGAAAGAAAAAGAGGCTATGTCAATTTATCAGGAAGGAATGATGAGGATCCAACTATAACAGTGATGATGGAAATAGGAGAGAAAGGGACAGATTCAAGGGCTATTTAGGTTAATATTGACAGGACCATGTGGCTTGGATGAGTGGTGAATAGTGGTGTCCAAATTTAAGCTGAGAAATATTGGAAAAGGAGCAGATTTGGAGATGGAGTGTGGGAGAAATAATAAACCCATTTTTGGAAATTTTGAGTTTGAGAAAATCGAAATGGAGCTTATAAGAAGGCAAGACTGGAGAGGGGTAGTGAACAGGTTTGAGAAATTGAAAATAGTGAGTGTAGAATACTCTTAAAGTTTTGCTGTGAAAAAAGGGAAAGAAGATGAATTTGTTGTTAGAAAGGAGAAAGAGGCTTTTTTTCAAAAAGGAAAGGATTTGAGGACATTTATAAGGTTGAGGGACATGAATGGTAGTGAGAGAGAATGGACATATAAGAGAAGGAAGGATAATCAAGCAAGATCCTGGCATTGGGGATGGGGCTGTGGAGATTGAGGCTGGAGGAGGAATTAGCCCTTGACGAGGGGAAAATAACTCTCCTCTAAAGTAAGTCTGGAGGTGACCTGGCAGACATTATGGCCTTGGTTGTGTTTGCGTTTGATCAGTTCAGACTGGTGTAGTTTATGCAGCTGCATTTCCTACTGAAGCATTGTCATTGTCATTTCCTCCCTGTTTATTTATTTATTTATTTATTTATTTATTTATTTATTTATTTAGTGTTATTTTTTCAAGTAGTGAAAGGGAAAAGAAAGTCACCCACCCTCAGTCTAGTTCTCTAGCCAGCCCTTATTAAGCACCTACTATGTGCCTGCACTGTTCTTTGTACTGGGAGTACAACAGTGAACAAGACTCTCAGAAGCCAGTTCTCAAAGTCCTATCTGAGGACCCTTTAGGCAAGACCTGAGAGACAGAAGGAAGCAGGCACATGAAGGCCAGGGAGTGGGTACCACAGAGGAAAGAGCAGGAAGGGCATCTGTTGGTGGGGGAGAATGTATGGGATGGGGTTGGAAGGGGAGGCAAGACCCATTATCACACAGGGCCTCCTAGGACAGAACTTACTGCCTCCTCTAATCTCAACTTGAGACACTTCTGGTTGTTTAACTTGTCCTTTTATTGAATGGCCTCATGTTACTGTGTAGTTCCTGACCCTTACTCTGAATTCTACCCTGTTCGATCTGCAGTGGACCTCTTGTTTTGCCTGTTCAGTATATACTCCTCCTTGTCAGGTGTTCCCCCCTGTTTTCCTTTGGCGGGGGACACCTTTGATCCATTTGTCTCTGTGATTCAGCTTCAGGGACCAACATATAAGCCACTCAGTCTCAGTGATTGACTTACAGAGATGGGCACATGGTTCTAAGATCCCAGGGAAAAGGTCTTCTCTTTCTGTTAGGGATACTTGTCAATAAAATGAGGGCATGGAGCCGCTGGCCACCATCTTTGCTGCGCATCTTTGCTGGGATTGAATGCAGAGGAGTGCAGAGCTGACAGAAATGAGATCGTTCCCAGATGACAGATTTTGAGTACCTATATTGAGCCATGCCGGAATTTATTCCTGGTCTTTTCAACTGCAAGAGCCAGAAAATTCCTCTTTTTTGTTTACAGTCATTTGCTTTTCATTTCCACTCAGGACTGAAAGCTCCTCTGACTTACACAAGACCATAGAGAAGACTGACTTCTTCTCTTACATGTTAACCCTTCCGGCATTTGAAGTTAGCTGTCCCCTCCCTCCACGTCTTCCCCAGGGACCCCAGAATTGCAGGGTGAGCAGTCATGTAATCACTCCAACCCCCAGTGAATTCCTCCTTCAGTCTCAAAGCCAAGTGTATGATCCTGACATTCGGTTAATGACTTGAGGGATCAGAACATTCCTGGTTCAATACATTTCTGACTATTCCATCCTCTTTCACTTCTTCCTCAATTCCCAACTCTGATCTAGCTAGCATCAAATGATGTGTTTAGGGGTTATCCCCCCTCCTTAGGATTTCAATTAAATTGTTTTCTAAAGGAATGTATGAATGTAAAGAACTATAAAAGATCATGATCAAATTTTAACCCTAAACTCAAAACTAGTTTCACATGGTTGTAATTTTAAAAACGGACCCTTCTTGCTTTATTTTTCTTCATAGCATAAATCACCTTGAATATACTATGTAATCAATTATTCTTTTTGTTTATTGTTTGCTTTCCCCTTCATCCCCACTAAATTATGATCTTCACAGGGCAGGGATGTCATGTGATTTGTTCATTGTTGTTTTCATAAAAGTAGAAGAGTACCTGACACATAGTGGGCATTCAGTAAACATTTGTTGAATGAATGAATGATATAGATTCTGCCCTTTAGAACGGGAATTTGCATTTTGCTAGAACAATATACACTTGTTTGATTCACTTTTATTTTTACAAAGATATTCCTAATCAATTGCTTCTTAGATTTGCTTTTCTGGGCAACTGCTTTGCATTAGAAGCATTTAATTTTTTTTAATTTACAATATTTATTTTCACTTTTTCAAATAGAAGTCAGTTGGAAAAAAGTGGAAGACACAGGCAAGTTGAAAAGGAGAAAACAAATATTATCCTCCTCTGTTTACTATTTCATATTTTGCTGAATTTCTTTCCATTTTATTTTTTTTTAATTTTGCTATAAAATAAAAGCTGACATCACTGAAGAAGCCAGTTCCAGAAACAGTTTCCACTCTAAAGCAAGGAAACTACTTCATAGCATCATGTAAAGAGATTTTCCACTTAAGCAAGAATATGTGTGGATGAGTTGCTTTTTGACATGTTCACAGCTTGTAGCTTTTCACCAGATCAAGGATGTCTGAGCGACTCAGTGACACACAACAGCATCTTGGCTAAGTGCCATCCCAGGACTGGGACCCTCTTCACTGACCTCAGAGACGTCCCAGAAGCTGCAGGCATAAGCCAGGGAGGGCTCCTATCTGGGAGATCAAAAGACATTGAACCCAAAACACTCGATTGGAACTTCAGGGACAAAACATCCCTGTGGATGACTTTGACTGTCTTGAAGGGCCACAGGGCACGGTTGGGAACCTGAGATCTGGCCTGTCTGTCAAGAAGCAGCTACTTCACTGTGTTACGTTTACGCAAACTCTCCAGTTCACTACGTACCTTTCACAAATAAGTCCAGAGAGTCTGCCCTGCTTCAGAGGAAGTCATAAATTATATCACCTCAAGTGTGTTTGCTTCTGTCAAGTGAATTTGTGGAACTGATTTTTATCAATGTTTCTAGGTCCAGCAACTTTGTTTATATGTTTTATTCACTGACTTAGAAGATTCTCCTGTAATATGATATCTCATCAAGTTCCTGCCCAAAATGAAGTTCAAAAGCTCTGAAATAAACATTTTAAAATACTGGAGAGACATTATAAAGACAAGTGACCATGGAAATTCTAATTTTCATTCCCAGCTCTTTTCATTTCTTAAAATGCATATTTCTTGATTTGGGTCACAATGGGACATTTGGTGGAGGTTTTGTTTAAAAAAAAAACAAAGCTCAGGAAATCAATTCAGCTTTTTAAAGCACAGGAGGAAAATGTAAGCTTCACATTTTAAAACACCACACAAGTCTTTGTTAAGTATAATTTTTAATCAGTTTCATACAGAAATATTTTAAAGAGAAAGGAGTTTGTTCTCTTAAGCTTTACTAGTTATAAATGAAAAATTAGTCCACTTCACTAGATATTTTGACAACAATGCATGCTCATTTTTTAAAATTGAAGTATAGTCAGTGTGAGTGTGCAGGAGAAAGGAAAGAGGAAATGGAATCAAAGATCAAAGAACTGGTGGGGGTAAGGTATAGCTTAGTGGTAGAGCACATGCTTAGCATGCACAAGATCCTGGGTTCAATCCCCAGTACCGACACTGAAAGAATAAATTAAAAAAAATTACCTGCCCCCCAAAAGATTTTTTTAAAAATCAAAGAACTAATACAAGATAGTACAGAACTGAAGGGCACTGGTTTGCAGATTCAAGGAGCCCCCCAGATGCTTCGTGAAAGAACAGGGAGAACCCACAGGAAGACACAGCACTGTGAAAGTACAAAACCCTAGTGAACACAGAAGATTCTAAAGGCTTCCAAAAAGACAAAGCAGGTCAAACATCTATGGTTAGTAGTCACAGTGGAGGCTG